AGGCCCTTGCCTTCCCTTCTGGGCTGAAATAGCAGTAAAGTTGGCATCAGTTTCAGTCATTCAGCAACCTGCAAAACTTCTCAACTTTTCTCCTCCCAAGTTGGCTGCTGGAAGCTTCTGCACGTTCTCTGGAGGCCAGCAACAGCCTTCTCGAAGGTAAGTGTAGCAGGGGCAGGAATCCCTGAACCTAGTGGCTGCTTCTGCGGCCCCTTTGTTCCCTATTAGAGTCCCACCCTCACCGATTCCTCCTTACCTGAGCATATTCTACCTGGGGCTATACACCCTCAGCTGCGCCCCCCTCCAGGTGGGCCCACCTGTAATGGCCTTTGGCTCCAGCCTTGTCCTTCAGCCCCCAGTTACCGTTACATCATTTTATTGGAGGTGCCACTTGCTCCCTGAGGCTCAGTGATGAGCTGGGTCCAGCCTGCCCTTCGGGTGCCCACAGTCCCGACAGCACCTCCCTGGCACCCTTGGCTGTGGGGCTGGAGGCAGCGCTGGGCCAGCTCTGTGCCCTGCAAGGAGCCTGGGGCTGGAGAGGCTAGAAGGGGAGCTGGAGGAAGAACAGGGAGGCCACTCAGAGCAGCCTCCCTGGCCCAGCTAAGCCGGGCCCGGAAACTTCTAACATTTGGGGCCACTGGAAGTTACATGTTAACTGAGGTGGAGAAAAGTGGGGGAGCGCATCTGGGGAGGTCTCAGGAGCCCTTTGGGGAAGCTGGGAAGCCTGAAGATCTGAGACCAGACAGTCCCAGGCAGAGACCAGGCTGTGCCCACATGGGACTGTGTGGCCACTGGGGGGGACAAAGCTGTGGGCTGCCAGGTGTGAGGGGAGGGCTGGAGGAAGAGGAGTTCTGGGGTCTGGCCCAGGGAGTGGGAGTGGGGGTGCTGCCGGAGAGGAGCAGGCCTGAGGGGAGACCTTGAGGGCCAAGAAGGGGCAGAGGGAGGTTACAGGCAGAAGGGGAGTCAGAGAAGTAGACAGACTCACCCAAGGGTCTGTATCCCTTCTCACTGGGTCTTTGTGTTTCCTTCTCTCTGTCTGTCCGTGTCTCACCCTTTCTCTTTGCCCCGTTTTCTCCATGTCTTCGTCCCCTCTCTCAGGGTCTCTCCCCTCTTTCTCTGTCCTCTTCCTCAGGCTGTGTCCCCCTCTCTAGGGGCAGAGCTTGAGGATTTAAAAGCTGCAGCAGGGGCCTGTGATGGGCAAAGGTGTCACACAAGGCCTAGCCCAGCCCGGGCCACCACCAAGGACATCCCCTCATGGGTTCCAGCAAAGCATCACCCAACCCCAGCCCAGCAGCGTGGGTGCTTCCTGTGACGTCTGGTCCCTGTGCTTTCCGTGCAGCTGGAAGTCAAATATGAAGTGCAGGGGTATGAAGCAGGGAGCTTATCTCAACTCTCAAAGGCCAGGGTGGAGGGTGGGAGGCCGCCCTCAAGTCCACCGCCAGAAGGAGGCGTCATAGACTTGCATTGACAGCTTTGAGAAGATGCCTTTTCAGCTTCCCCTGCCTTTGATGTCTAAAACCCTTCCACTTTCTCCTTAGTGCTGAGTGGCCTACACACACCTGCTTTGTCTAACTGCCTTTGGAATAGTCAGCATTTATATGGGTTCCCCACACAAATGCATTTAGGTTTTTCCCTCTTCTGTCAGCCTGTTTAATGTCAGTTGGATTACTTGCCACCCTAGAAGTGAGAGAAGGGGGCATTGTTCTGTGCCCCAAGGCATTGCTGGCAGGATGTGCCCTATAACAGCTGGCATGGAAGAGGTCCTGAGTTATCTCATATTTGACGAAAAGATGGTAAAAGGTAAGGACTCTTAAAATACCAGTCCCTAGATGTTTTCAAGATCCTCCTGGGTCTGTCTCCATGGTGCCCAGCAGAAGTGACAAGGGCTGAGATTTTTTCTGTGTTCTAAATTTTGATTGGTGGGGGGACATTTGTTGTGGAACAGGCTTTGGGGTAAGGTAATTTTGGTTTTGGGTATTCTTGGCTTTTAAGGGCATTGTTTTTTATTTTGTTTGTTTTTGTTTGAGGGGCCTTTTAAAAAAATATTAATTTTATTTATGCATCCAAGAACTGGAGTGTAGGCTAGAGGTGTGATGGGGTGAGAGGATTCACTAGAGACAGAATGGGGAACAGAACAGGCCAACTGACTGAAACACACTGCTAAGGGGAGAAGCTGGCGAGACAGGAGAGGTCTGCTGCCATGTGGGTAGCTCCCTGGCCAGAACTGCACTCATGCTGCAGTGGCTGCTGATAATGTCAAGTGCTGAGACTCAACCCTCTGCGCTACCAGGAAGGCCCTGAGGGGTATCTTCTTTAATTGTGTTTTGAGTCCTCTTGGTTGATCCTTTTGCTCCCAGAGGAGGTCTTTGCTTTCTTTGCTCTGTCTTCTATGTCGTTTATCCTAGAGAGGAAAACACATGTGTCACGTGCATATAAAGGAAAGCTGTTGCTAAAGAAATTCTGGAAGACGAAAAGCCACAGATGTGGTGGACACAGGTGGAGAGTTAAAAGCCACAGGACACTTGCTACCCGAATGTACCTGGGAGAGGATAAATGGTCACAAAACAGGTAAGATGTACAGGAGATCACCTGTCAACATGAAGAAAATTCAGTGAAACCAGGGAGGCCATAAAACAAAACGGGCTTTATGCTTGAGTGCTTGGCTCTGGGCCTCCATGAGACCTGCCATCTGGAAGGAGCATTTTCCAGGATGCTCCATTGGCAGACAGTCCAAAATCATCTGGGATCCACACTCCTCTTGGGGGTCTGGGTACCCTCTCAGGGAAGTTTTTTGACCTCTGCTTCTTGTGTACATGCTCGCCACCTATTGGCACTGCCTTGAAATGCAGGACTTAGATCATTCTGGGGCATTTAGCTGAGGAAGGTGCAGAACTATTGGTGTTCACCAATTCTAAGCCAGGAAGTTGCCAACCAGGTTTTTTCCTTTAAAATGGCTTGTTGGGGACCTCCCTGGTGGCATAAGGGGTTAAGCACAGCACTATGAAGCTATCTTCAGCCTCTGCAGCACGAATTCGATCCCTGCCCGGGCAGGGAGCTACCTGCATGTCACAGCAGACCTGTTCTGTCTCGCCTGCTGCTCCCCTCAGCTGTGTATTTCAGTCAGTTTGCTTGTTCTGTTCCCCACTCTGTCTCTGGTGAATCCTCTCACCAAACACACACCCAACCAGCCTCCCCACACCTCTGGCCTATACCCTAGTTCTTGTATGCTTAAATAAATAATTTTTTTTTTTTTAAAAAAGAACAAAAATAAAAAGGCTGCCTGGCTTGAGTCACTGTGGGACTAAGTATATGAGTGGACCTCCTACTAGCAAACAGCTGAGCAATGTGTAGATTTAGCTGGAAATTTTTCATTATTTGAAACTTTTCTTTTAATTTATTTATTTATGCATCTAAGAACTGGGGTATAGGCCAGAAGTGTGTGTGGGTGTGGGAGAGAGGATTCACCAGAGATGGAGTGGGGAGCAGAACAGTCGGACCAACAAAAGTACACCGGGAGGAGCCTCCCCTTGTGGTACAGCGGTTGAGCACTGGGCTACAAAGCTGCCCACAGCCTCTGCAGCGCCAGTTTGATCCCCAGCCACCGTCGAGGGTCCCACATGGCGCGACAGACCTCTCCTGCTGTGCCCGCTGCTCCCCTCAGTAGTGTATTTTGTCACTCTGCCTGTTCTGTTCCCTGCTCTGGCTCTGGTGAATTCTCTTACCCGCCTGCATTTCTGATTGTACCCAGTGCTTGTATAAATAAATAAATCTTTTAAAAAAATTATAAAAAAAAATTACACGGGGAGGCAGGAGAGGGCTGCTGCTTCATGTGGGTCAGCAACCTGGTCAGGGATAGAACTCGTGCTGCTGTGGCTGCCAGTAACTTCATAGTGCTGAGACTTAACCCCTTATGCCACCAGGGAGGCCCTTGAAAAAGACTTTTTAAGGGAGCTCACATCCTAAGCAACTGTGATATTGGTACCTATGGGAAGAGCTTTCTGTCAATGAGATGAACAGGAAGCAGACTGAAGAGAAAACTTTATAATTTTTTTAAGATTTTGTTTATTCACAAACTGGGATACAGGTCAGAGGCGCGGGAGGGTGAGAGAATTCACCAGACACAGCTGGAAGCAGAACAGGCAGACGGACTGAAGACACTGCTGAGGGGAGTAGGAAGCGAGGCAGAAGAGGTCTGCCACGCCATGTGGGCCTCTCCCTGGCCGACCGGGAATCGAACCCACGCTCCAGAGGCTGCGGACAGCTTCACAGGGCAGCGGTCAACCCACTGCGCCACTGGAGAGGCCTGAAGAGAAAAGTTTAAAGTGACATCAAATGTGAATTCTGCTTCTCCTCTAACTTATCTGCCCAAACCCTTCATCACCCTCTCTGCACTGTTTTTCTAACATGAGCTCATTGTTGTGATGGCTTCTTAAAAGGAAATAAAGCAATTTTTCACCCAGTAAAGTGCGGGTCTTATGTGTACAGCTCAATGAATTTTAAAATACAAGGACGCCCAGATAACCACGACAGACCAAGTACATTTGGGGCATTCCGGGGACCTCTCTTGGGGTTCTTCCCGTCAGCACCCTGCCAATCTATCACTACAGATTAGTTTTGCTGCGGTTTGGACTTGGGGGGCTTTAGTGAACTGTAACGTGCTGCTTCAGTGAACGCTACTGGAGGCCCTGGATATGTTTCTCTGCTGTGCCTTCGACGTCCCTCTGCCTCCGGGAGGCCTCGAGCCGCACCTCGAACTTGTGAAAACTCAGCTGGAATGAATGAAACTCAGGGCGCGACTTGCGGGCGCCGGAGGAACAGCGCCACCAGGGGGCTCCTGGAGGCGAGTGTGGTCGGCGGTCACGTGACGCGCGGCCGCGCCGCAGGTGCGCAGGTGCAGTCCCGGGCGCGCGCTGCCCTGCGGGGCAGGCCCCGGGCCGCCATTTTGCGGGGCGGTCACGTGAGAGGACGCACGTTCAGCCGGGAGCTCACGTGATCAGGGGCGTGCTGCGGCCGCCCAGCCGGACCCGGCGAGAGGCGGCGGCGGGAGCGGCGGTGATGGACGGGTCCGGGGAGCAGCCCAGAGGCGGGGGTGAGGCTGGAGGCAGACGGGCGGGAGGAGGGCGAGCCCCCGGGCCGGCCGGCCCCACGATCCCTCCTGCCAGCCCCCGGCCGCGAGATCTCCAAGCACTCCCGGGCAGAACCTCCCGGATCGGGCGCCGCCAGCCTCCAGCCCCTTCTTCCCCGGGGGTCCCCGGCTCTCTGACTTCCGCACCCTGATCTCTTCCTGTGGGGGGCTCTCGGACCCCCCGAGAACCTGGAGACCCCTGAATCCAGACCCCCGGACAGGCCCGGGCTTGTCGCCGACACCACTTCCTGCCTCTGGCCCTGGTGGGAGGGGCGGCTCTCCTCTCTGCCCCTCAGGCCAGAGGTCTGGACGCCTTAAGTGTTGCCCAGTCCCCTCCTCTGAAGAGTGTAGGACACAGGCTGGGCCTCCCTGCCTCTTTCTCCATCAGGGACTCAGTTGACCTGTCCCCGGCCACTTTATCTCCCAGGCCCCCAGAAGGCCAGTGCCCCCGAGCGTTGTCCTTCCTTGGGGACCATGAGTCCGCTCCCCACCCCAGTGACCCTCCAGGACCCCCCTCCTTTCTCCTGCAGGGCCCACCAGCTCTGACCAGATCATGAAGACAGGGGCCCTTTTGCTTCAGGGGTGAGTTTGCGAGGTTTCATTATTGGGGAGCGGATCTGAGGTGCTGCCCCTTTCTGACTCTGCATTTCCCACTCCATATCCACTCTAGTTTCATCCAGGATCGAGCAGGGCGAATGGCGGGAGATACCCCAGAGCTGGGTCTAGAGCAGGCACCCCAGGATGCCTCCACCAAGAAGCTGAGCGACTGTCTCAAGCGCATTGGAGACGAACTAGACAGTAATATGGAGCTGCAGAGGTGTGACTTCTGGGACTCCAGAATCCAGTCGCTGGGCTCTTTCTCCCTCAGAACCCAGGAGGCCCCATTCCCAGCCCCTCCTCTAGGTGCCTGCAGTTCAGACCCACTATACTTGTTCCTTCTCTTCCCCGGTCTCCAGGTCTGGGCTTTTCCCTCCCGTGGTATCTTGAAACCTTCCTTAAGGAGTTAATTTCCTCTCTCCCCTAAATGTCCATCTTTTCCCCTGCCTCCACGTTGACCCCTTGCTTTTCATTTCAGCCTGGCCAGGGCCTCATTTACCTTGTCTTGGGGATGAGGTGGCTAGCAGGGTTTCCACACTCTGCAGGATCCGCCCTTCCCACCTCCAGCTTGCTTTTCCACAGGATGATCGCAGCAGTGGATACAGACTCCCCCCGAGAGGTCTTCTTCCGAGTGGCAGCTGAGATGTTTTCTGACGGCAACTTCAACTGGGGCCGGGTTGTCGCCCTTTTCTACTTTGCCAGCAAATTGGTGCTCAAGGTGGGCCGCTGCAGGGTGGTGAGCCCAGGGAGGCGCCCACAGAACCCTGAGACCTGGGAATCCTGACCTTAACCCTTGTAGCAGCCCTATATCCACAGAGGGAATTGACAGAGACAGCTGTGGGATCCTTCCTTTGTTTATTCATTCAACATACATGTACTGGGCCCACTATATGCCCATACTCAGCACCGACAAAGCAGAGAAGTAAGACCGGGAGACGTGTTATACAAGAGGTCAGGAAAGACTTCTAAGGGGAGGGTGACATTAAGCCAAAGTTGGGAGGACAATAAAGACGCAGTGACATAGAAGGGTCGTGTGGGCAAAGGCGTCTGGTAGAGGAATGTCTGCCAATGTCCTGAGGTAGCACCAAGTCTGTGCTGAGGCTGTGAGATGGGGAAAGGGTGAGGTGGAGGGCAGACTGCAGTGGGTCCTGTGGAACCACTGTGAGGACCTTAGCTTTACACAGAGGGACACGGGAGTGATTGGCTGGTTTCAATCAGGGCAGTGAGGGGGCCTGATTTATAAATTTAAAATATTACACTAGCAAGTGCCAGGTTTCTCCTACTGTCTAAAAGTAGTCGGGGGCCTCCCCTGGTGGCGCAGCGGTTGAGCACGGGGCTGCGAGGCTGCCCGCACCTCTGCAGTGCCGGTTCGTTCCCCGGCCGCCGGCGAGCATTCCACAAAAAAATAAATAAATAATAAATAAATAAAAGTAGTCGGTTCATATTTGGTAGTTTATATTTTGTGTCTGGAAATGTTCAAATTTGTTTTCTAGATAAATTAATGGTGGTAGTGTTTCCAGACCAAAATTTAGCCTATCGAATCATACTGAATGGGAACATTCTTTTGGATAGCAAGGGACGCCTCCATAGCAAAATGTTTGTAGGATCCACATTTTGACTGCACAGCTACCTTTACTCTGAAATTCTTTTTTTTTTTTTAAGATTTATTTATGCATACAAGAACTGGGGTGCAGACCAGAGGTGAGGGGGTGAAAGGAGTCACCAGAGACAGAGTGGGGAGCAGAACAGGCCATCTACTGAAATACATTGCTGAGGGGAGCAGCGGGCAAGTCAGGAGAGGTCTGCTGTGCCATGTGGGTCAGCTCCCTGGCCGTGGATGGAACTCGTGCTGAAGAGGCTGCGGATAGCTTCATAGGCAGTGTCATAGGCATATGACATAGGCAGTGTCTTAACCCTTGTGCCACCAGGGAGGCCCCTTTACTCTGAAATTCTTTGAACTTTGTGAAGATACTCAAACTATTGAGAAGGGAAGCCCAACATATTGGCCACTGTGGGATTATGGAGCACAGGGGCAAAAGCAGGGAAACTGGCGAGGGACATCCAGAATGATCCTGGCAAAAGATTAAAGGCCTGGACTCGGTGGGAACAGCGGCAGGAGAAGTAGATTCCTTGATTTGTTTGCATGATTGAGCTGATGCAGCTTGAATGTTGGAGTCAGTGGAGTATTCCATGTAGAACTGGGGGGAAGCAGTCAGATAAAAGCTGGAAAGGGGAATTTCAGGGAGTTGTAGAGCATGTCCTGGGTTTGTTGGTGTTGGTTAGAAATGCTCTCTCTGGTCTCAAGGTTAGACCCAAGCTTTGAGGGAAAGTGAATATGCTGTTGGTTGAGACCCCTTTAAGCTGAAGAATCAGCATGCACAAAGGTCCTGAGGCAGCAACGAATTTGATGGGGATGAAGATATGCAAGAAGGTCAATGAGGCATTAAAAGAAAGTGGAAAATTAAAATATGATTAAGTCAGGGCCTCCCTGGTGGCTCAAGAGGTTAAGCATCGCACTACGAAGCAATCCGCGGCCTCTGCAGCACGAGTTCCATCCCCGGCCCACCAGGGAGCAACCCACGTGGCGCAGCAGACCTCTCCTGTCTCCCCGCCGCTCCCCTCAGCAGTGTATTTCAGTCAGTCTGCCTGTTCTGCTCCCCACTCTGTCTCTGGGGAATCCTCTCACACACACACCCACACCCCGCGACTCTGGCCTGTACCCCAGCTCTTGTAGGCATAAATAAATCTTTAAAAAAAAAAATGATTAAGTCAGAGCCTTAACACATGGTCCTGTGAGCCAAGCTATTACTCATTTTTAGCCAGGGGGTGAGGGGTACTGGGAGTTATGGCCCGTGCCTGAGCAGGGCAATTGATAGTGCCGAGATCTAGTTTATAATTTATGAAGCTGAATGGAAGGACTGCAGAGGGTAGGATGGGAGACACAGGGTTGAGGGGTCTCAGCTCTAAGTCCCACCTCACTCGCTGCAGGCCCTGTGCACCAAGGTGCCCGAGCTGATCAGGACCATCATGGGCTGGACACTGGACTTCCTTCGAGAGCGACTGCTGGGCTGGATCCAGGAACAGGGTGGTTGGGTGAGGCCCTTAACTACCCCCTCCCCCACTCCCTGGGAACTGAGGGTCTTCCTGAGCCCACCACAGCGCACATGTCCCTGACTGTCAATGTATACTAATCGGTGATTTATCTGGTCCCTACTGATTCTGCTGTGACCCCTGACCTCCCTGTGACCTCTCTTCTCCCAGTGACCATTGGCCTGACTAGTGCCTTCTGACCCTCCCTGGGGCCTCCTGCTCTGGAAGCCAATCTGTGATAATGCTTGTTTGTGACTCCTAAGTACCCATCATCTTAGGCCTTAGCCACCCCTCCGTGCCCTTTGACCTCACCCTAATCCTCCCTACCGGAATGGCTGACTGATGTCCCTGTCCCCAGGATGGCCTCCTCTCCTACTTTGGGACACCCACGTGGCAGACAGTGACCATCTTCGTCGCTGGGGTACTCACCGCCTCGCTCACCATCTGGAAGAAGATGGGCTGAGGCCACCAGCTGCCTTGGACTGTGTCTTACCTGAATAAATTATGGCGTTTTTCTGGAAGGGATGGGATGGGGGCATATGGGGATTTTTCTTACTTTTGTAATTATTGGGGGCAGGGGTGGCCTGGGAGGGGGGTAATAAACCTCTTTTGGGCCACACTTCTAATATGTGTCATTGGGCTCACTCCCTGGCTGTCCAGGAGACCAGGCCTTGGCTGGTCCCATAGGTTTTCTGGGGCGCCCAGTGCTCCCTGAGGGTCAGTGATGAGCTGGGTCCAGCCTGCCCTCCAGGTGCCCACAGTCCCAACAGCACTTCCATGGCACCCTAGGCTGTGGGGCTGGAGGCAGCACAGGGCCAGCTCTGCGCCCTCCAAGGAGCCTGGTCCTGGAGGAAGCTGGAAGGGGAGCGCGAGGAAGAACAGGGAGGACACTCCGGAGAAGAGAAGCCCTGGGTCCTTGTTAAATGACGGCCTGGAAGCTTCCAACATTTGGGGCCACTGGAAGTTGCATGTTAACGGAGGTGGGAAAAAAAGGGGGGGTGCACCAGCGGTGGGCTCAGGAGCCCTTTGGGGAAGCTGGGAAGCCTGATGATCTGGGACCAAAGTCCCAGGAAGACACCAGGCTGGGCCCACATGGGGCTGTGTGGCCACTGTGGGGGACAAAGCTGTGGGCTGATGGGTGTGGGGGGAGGGCTGGAGGAAGAGGAGCTCTGGGGTCTGGCCCAGTGAGTGGGTATGAGGGTGCTGCTGGAGAGGAGCAGGCCTGAGGGGGGACCCTGAGGGCCAAAAGGGGGCAGAGGAAAGTTACAGGCAGAAGGGGAGTGTTCTAGAGCGTTGTACTTTCTCTGGGGTCTTTGTCCTCTTTCCCTGTGTGTCTCCCCTTTTCTCAGGTTCTAAGCCTGGGGTGGGGGTGGGGTTGGAGTACATGAAGCCTGTATGGAATTAGCTTTAGGACATCCTTTTCCCCCTAGCACTTCTACCCCCACCCCACCCATCTGTCTCTCTGAGTCTTCATCCCCCTCAGTTCCTGTCTGTGAGTCTCCTGTGTTCCCCCTGTACCCCGTGGAACTCTGTCTGTCCTCAGCTCCCGACTTACCCCTTCCTCTCCCTCCACCTGTGGGCATTTTCTGAGCCACCTCATCACAGGTGGGGCCGGCCTGAGGCTAAAGGTCTCTTCTTGGCTGAGGTAAGAAATTTGGTGAATGAGTAACTCAGGTCCCATTGTGACTGCATCCTGGGGCAGCTGCCCCTCCCCCAGAGAGTGTCCCCAGAGACCAAATCAGGGCTGAGATGTCAAAGAGATAAGATAGCATGAGGGGAGACTGAACTTCATCTTCCAGAGAGAGGGGACAATATGGCCAGAAGCAGGTACCCAAGGAAAGCATCAAGGGAACTAAAAAGACAGTAAGATGAGACAAAGAACACTCCAGGCGGCCCCTTGGGGGAGGGGACCAGACTTGGGTCTGAGCCAAGTCAGATTCCTAGGGTCCCAGCCAGACTGCAGACAAGTCCAAGCCCTGAGGAGAGATGAGGTCAGTGAGTGGCCCCACTCCGCCCTCTGCCTGAGCCCCTTCCGCCGCTGAGTTCAGCATGACTCAGCAGGACCAGGCTATTGGCCACTGGCCCAGACGCCCCTTGAGGATCCCACGAGGATCTGTCCCCTGCACCCCCTTGCTCAGGGGCACGCTGCCTGCACTGAAGGAGTGTCTCCTCTGCAAAGCAGGTCATGATCTGCCCCCACACCCCAAAAGCTTCTGCTCCTCTCCCCCTGCCCACCCAGGCAGTCTCCATTTGGGGACTTAAATAGGATCTAGATCCAGTCTTTGTGCCTCTTTTCCCCCCAAACACAACAGTGGGGACCTCCCTGAGGGCAGAGTCCTGGTTTGAGTCCCCTGTATCTCCCAGGCACCAGTCTGGAGCAGGCACATTTTAAACTGTACATTGGCCAAAGACAGACATCCTGCCCACAGGACCCCAGACCCTCATTTAACAAAGACCCAGGGCTTCTCTTGGTGACTCTGAAGGATCATATATCAAGCAAGACAGGGACAACTTCAGAGCAACTGCCCAAGAAGATGCCCAGAATCTGTGGCTGCTTTCAAAACAGTCCCCAGGATTTGCAGCTTCAGAAAGACCCCAAAGTTCTAGTGTCATTTCACTCCCCTTCACTTCAGCTTACAGAAAAATACTTCTCTGAAATAGCGCCAAGGTATCCCAAAGGGCCCAGCCAATATTTCCAGGAGTATCCAAGCCCCCTCTCAAAAAGTCTCTTCTAGGCTTCCAGAAACTTCTGCTACCCCCCCAACTCCCAAAGGCTCTAGAAAAGCCCTTTTAATCTTGCAGATCACTTCAAGGGCCTAAAGACCTCATCCTGGAGAATTCCAGAAATATGGACTTCCATCGCGAACTTTAAGGCTACGAACCCCCCCAACTCCCCACCTTTGAGTGAACACCCCTAGCCTCCAAGATCCCCCTCCAGTCTATCTCTCAGAGAGGTCTCTGTAATTCTAAACTATCTCATTGCCTTCCAAATTTCTCAACAATCTGGGCCCCCAATATCTCCCTGAGCGAACCCCAACCATCCGCAGGTCTCCCCATCTCTACGAAATCCTCAGATTTCCAGAAAAGTCCATGCTTAGAAATAATCCTAGAAATCCAGGATTGATTTCTTCCTTACACACCCCCTGGGCCCCAGGGTCATTTTCCACTGGCTCTGCCACTGTCCCCATTCACCTCCCACCCACCACGGAGACACACAACACATAAGCGCCCCCAGAAAGGTCTAGACTTCCCCAATCAGCCCCGGGACCCTCACACCCGTGAAACTCCCACTCCCCCCCCCCCCCCCCCCCCCCCCCCCCCCCCCCCCCCGCAACCACCCATTTCACAACAGCCTCCCGCAGCAGGCGCGTGACTGCTCCACCCCGGGGGCGGGGTCTGGAACTCACAGCTGCTCCTGATTGGCCAGACGCGCGCTCCGGCCCCGCTCCCCGCCCCCACAGATTGGTCGATTGCGCTCCCTGAAAGCCCCGCCTCCCTAGAGCCCGGGAGGTATAAAAGCAGCCGCCTAGGCCACAGCCTCTCGCAGTGAGCTCGGCGGTCCCGCGGATCTGTCTCTTGCTTCAACAGTGTTTGGACGGAACAGACCCGGGGACGCACTTCTGTTATCCTCCGACCATCCTCCAACCTTTTTTCCAGTCGCAACCTACGGAACCACCCTCTCTACAACCCTCTCCCTCCGAGACCAGCGAAAACCGTTGTTTGGGCATACCTCCATACTGCCCGGCAACCATGAGCTCCCAGATTCGTCAAAATTATTGCACCGAGGTGGAGGCCGCCGTTAACCGCCTGGTCAACCTGCATCTGCGGGCTTCTTACACCTACCTCTCTCTGGTGAGGGTCCCCAAGACGCCCCCGGCCCAGCCCCCCCCCCCCACCTGCGCGTCCCGGCCCTCTGCGCATGCGCCGGCTTCCTTTGTCCCGTTGGTCGGCGGAGGGCGGAGTCCTGCCCCGGGCCTGCCACCAACCTCTCTTCCCACCGTCTTGTCCCGCAGGGCTTCTATTTCGAGCGCGACGATGTGGCTCTGGCTGGCGTGGGCCACTTCTTCCGCGAGTTGGCCGACGAGAAGCGCGAGGGCGCCGAGCGTCTCTTGAAGATGCAAAACCAGCGTGGCGGCCGCGCCCTCTTCCAGGACGTCCAGGTAAAGCGATTGTGAGCCGCGGACTACATCTCCCACCAGTCCCTGCGCGCGAAGCCCCTTTCTGGAGCGGTGAAGACCCCGCGTGGGCGTCTGGGAGATTGAGTGCCGTGCAGTTTGGGTTGGGTGGTTTGTTGTGACTGGAAATGGCGGCGCCGTCTGTCGGGACGTATGAGGGTGGTCGTGGTAGCTAAAGCTTTGGAACGTTTTTGCCAGCTATGTTCTTTGTCTCAGCCATGCCACCAAAAGCTGGGGACTATGGTTAAGAGTTTGGTGCGGGTTGTGAGGTTAGTGCTGAGCCGCTTCTCTGCTGTGTAGAAGCCTTCCCAAGATGAGTGGGGGAAAACCCTGGAGGCCATGGAAGCTGCCGTGGTCCTGGAGAGGAACCTGAACCAGGCCCTTCTGGATTTGCACGCCCTGGGCTCTTCTCGCGCGGATCCTCATGTAAGTACTGTGATCATGAGAGACCGTCCTTAGAAGGAAGCTTCCATAAACCCTGGCTTCATATGTTTGGTCAGCTTTCCCCCTGAGCCTAGCTCCCACTTGAGATACATTTTCTCTCTCCCTCAGCTCTGTGACTTCCTGGAGAGCCACTTCCTTGATGAAGAGGTGAAACTCCTCAAGAAGATGGGCGACCACATGACTAACCTCCGCAGGCTGGCCAGCCCCCAGGCTGGGCTGGGCGAGTATCTCTTCGAAAGGCTCACTCTCAAGCATGACTAGATTCCTCCACAGCCCAGCGGCCTTTGAGGGGCCCAAATGGCACCCCTGGTGTTAAGGGCTTCTGCCTAAGCCTCTCCCTGGAGCTCTTCCAAGTTGTGGACCAAATGAAAACAATAAAGCTTTTTGCAGCAGCTGGTGCTCTGTGTGTGTGTGATGTGGGGACGAGGAGGGCTCCGTCTTTCACTAGATTATCCACTGGGCAGGCAGGCTGACATCTGCTCAAAAGGGTAATCTCAGCTTGTGGAGTTAACATTAGTGGGTTCCCTGCTTGACCCAAACCATTCCTATTTTTGGAAGGTGGAGTCCACACCTGAGAGTCTAGTAAAGCCTGAGTTAGTGGCTGGAAGCTGGCACTGTTAGAAATCCTAGACAGCAACCAAACAGGCCCTGCTTGATGACTCCATCACTGGGCACCTTGCCAGACTCAGAAAGTAGTCCCTGACTCATTCCTAAGAGTATTAAGTAGAACTTCAAGCTCCTTTATATGAGTTGGTATTACCATGTTCATTGCCCTTAGCAACACCGTTGCAGGTGAATCTGACCTGTTGAAAAGGCTACTGCACCTCTTAAACAGAGGAGGCCTACAGATCCTAGGTACTGTGAGTTTCGATAAATCCATTCCAGGCACACACTGGGAAGCTGTTGGTGGAATTTTGCCCATGGTGTGAGGTGCTGAGCTGGGGGGTAGGGTTCAGTACAGAAAATGGATGTGAAACTTCATGCCCACTTCTCTAAATGGGAGCAAAATAAGCTTGGGAGATGACTTAGCAGGCAGCTGCTGTGTCCGGGCTACTGAACAATGCAAACTGACCCACTAGCCCTTCCTGTTTAGGGTAGAAGAATCTAAGAGGAAGTGACTACTGGCTACTGGTTCTTTTGTCCTCTCAGCACCAGGCTCTGCTTGCTGTCACTGCACTTAGGTGAGTACTCGTGATCTGGTGGGGGAAGGAGGCTTGTGTGTGTCACAAACAGGCTAATCAGGATGATCACAAACATCCAAATCTAAAAGCCGAAGTTTTCTATTTCCCTGAAAAGTGATTGGCTCAGAGAGATGCCCATATGGCCCAGTGAACCCTGAAATTAGAGCCATGCAGGAATGTGTAGGGCCAAAGTTCAGGGACCAGAGCCCAGAGGTTGTGCCGTCCCTGAAGCTAGTGCTGTCCAGCTGGACTTGTGATGGTGGGAATGTCCTATTATCTGCACTGTCCAGTGGGCAGCGATGTGTCACATGTAACCATGGTCGCACTTGAGCACCTGGGTCTGCTGAGGAATTTAAAGAGCCACACATGGCTTGCAGCTAACCCATGGATGTTTTTTCTACTGACCCAGACCCCCTTCTTGAGTCACTTCTTTGCCGCTGCAAGTCAAGTCACAAGTACACAAGACAAAGGTGTCTTCCATTAAAAGAATACCAGAGTCCAGGATAACAATCCAAGTGTCTCCAAGACCACAGAATGAGACAAGGGATCAGGGGCCCAGAGAGTAGCAGGGGGAATTCGAGAGACGGTAAAGAGAAAGAACAAAGGAGAGAGGGGCCCTGAGACAAACCCATCAAGCCCTAATATCGGACCAGACCTGGGACTCTTAAATATAGATGTATTTTTTCATCTCTGGACACACTTCCATCACACTCCTTCTGCCCCCACCCCCCAACTGCAAACACAAGTGCATCAGATACGGCACAGCACACGGAGAGGCCCCTCCTTTTCACTAAAGCTGGGGGCAGGGCACAGCTTGGGGATGGAAGAGCCTCGAGGTAAATCTGGAGGTTCTAGAACACAGTGGGCCCAGTTCTAGACCAAGGGAAAGGGACCAGGATGCAGCACAGTGGTGAGAGGTTCTAGACTCAACTGTCGGAACCTAGAACCAGTGGTTTCATGGTGGGCCTAGAAGTTGTGGGTTGTGGGTGAGAGACAGCCAGTTCTGTGCTCAGGAGGATTGTCTGGAGGGCACAGAGTCTAGAGTCACAGGAGAGCACAGGCTTGATTGAAAGGAGTAGGTCTGATCCAGAAAGGCATCTAGACCAAGACTGCAAGCTGTTCGGTAGGAATGAGAAACCAAGTGGTTGTGCCACCCCTTGCTTGGAGGAAGAGGGGTCAAGGGTGGAGGGCTCCTCCAGGCAGAGCCAGACACCCCAGGACGGGCTTGGCCAGAGTTAAACACAAGTACCCTTTCCTGGGGCCTGACTTCTAGAATTGAAATAGAGGACCTTCTGCAGTTAACGGAAGTTCCTGAAAGTGGCCCAGCTCTAGACTTGATGGTCCTATTAGTAAGGACACCAGGCCAGACCTGAGCATGCTTTGTAACAATGTAAATGATTTTGCAAACCACAGAAGGCTCTAGAAAGCCAGGCCTGGAAGGCAACAGGCCAGGTTTCCTCTGGCACCAAGGTAGGGTTATGGCAGATTCCTGGCCTATGGGACCAGGGCCAGATCTAGGGGACTCCAGGGCACAGATGATGCATTCTGGAACCCAAGAAAGGCACAGTGTTGTGATTCTGGAGTGTTCGGGATTCAAGATCAGAGCCAGAGAGGATGGAGTGTATGAGGGAGTGGGTAGGGCTGTGGACCCACAGAGGGTTCAGGATTTGGAGTGGGGTTTAGAAATAGTGCCTGTTCTGCCTCTGAAGGCAGAGCGGGCAGGAGTGTGAGGAGGGCTGCTTAGTTGCGCTCCTCGCCCAGGGAGCTGGCGGGGCTGAGGGGCTCACTGGGGGTGCTGAGTGAACTAGAGGGCGCTGTGTCCACAGAGCCACGTTTGCTCCCGCCCGTGGAAGAGGCACAGGAAGCTCGGCGAGGCCACTCGGGAGCTCGGATGTTGCGCCGGTCCTTGGCGGCTTCTTCCTCCTCGTCATAACGCTCGCCATCTTCCTTGGGCCCATCGCGGAGTTCCTCCTCATCCTCACTGTGGTGCGGGCTGGAGTGTCGTGACAGGGAGGGCGAAGGCGGCACCGAGGCCGGCCGTGGGTAGCGGTAGCCCTGGGCCTGTGGATGGGGGTGTGGGCACAAACCTCAGAGAGCACGGAGGTCCCCCACAGCCCTGCCCAGGAGGCCTTCGGACCCACCTCTCCCAACCCTCTACCTCACTATCAGAGACACCCCAGGTCCACTCACCGCATCAGCCTTATGGGGCTCGTAGGTGAAATGCTCGGGAAAGGCCTTGGCCAGGGCCATGTGGCGTGCAGACATGTAGTACTTGGGGGGAAAGAAGGGGAGGCAGTGTCAGGGTGGCGGGAGCTGGCCCTCCCCTGCTCGCCAGATGGGGAAGAAGCAGGTGAAAACTGACCACACCTTTTTATGCAAATGATCACTCTGCTGGCACCTACCTACAAGTTGGCCCCTATGCAAATTTCCATCTTTGTGGCTCCACCCCTTATGTCGATTAGCTGAGCTGTGCCTGGACCATCTGAGCCACACAACCCCTCACATAGGGAGGGAATATGCCAATCAGGCACCACTTTGACCACACCTTTATGCAAATAGGGGAACTAGCCTAGTCCTACAGCAGGTGATTAACTTCTTAAAGGGGCAGCACCTGTTACAAGTAGGAAGCCATTGTGCTTCCTTGCGCCCGCCTCGAGGCCAAGGAACCAGAGACCCAGAGCCAGAAGCAGCTGATGCACCAGCAGAGGATAGGAGAGGGGAGTTATACCCGGCCTAGGTATTTCCAATCCAGAAGGTCGGAGAGGCGCTCCGTGCGATTCCTCTGGATGATGCGCTGCCTCCGGCTCTGCTGACAGAAGCTGTAGAGGAAGGAGGTGAGCTGCGAGCAGGAATCATCCAGGCTGCGAAAGCGCCGGTCCAGAATGTAGATGCCTGTGTGGAGCAGGACGGGGGCTCTGAAAATCCTCTGGGGGAGACCTTCATTCTCCTGGGACTCTGGCACCAGGACCCCTCTTTCCCCCCGGTACCCCTTATCTCTTCTCTTAGTGATTCTCAAGTCCCACCCCTCTCCTCCCCAGGATCCAAGGGTCCCGCTCTCAGTCTGGGCACTGACCGTAAGAGGAGGGCTCTGCGATGTGCTCCTCCATGAAACAGCCGAAGCCAGAGAGGTTGGTGGAGATACTGGGGATGCCCATGACGGTGCACTCGGCTGTGGAAACGGTGAGAATGGCCCATTTAGTTTTCCCTTCTTCTGCCTTCAATCGCCATAAAAACCTCATTGGCGCCCTCTACTGGCGCTTCCGCTAAGTGCAGGCGCTGTGCTAGGCTGGTCCCAAGAAGGAAAAACCAGGCAGTGCTAGTTTCTCAGAAGGAAAAAGAGGCTCAAAAAAGGGAATTCACTTCTCCTGTTGCCTCAGGATGAGGAAAAATCTATAGTCGAGCGATAAAAACAACAATTTTAAAAGGGGGGGCGGGGCCTCCCTGGTGGTGCTAGGAGTTAAGTCTCAGCGCTATAGCTATCAGCAGCCACTGCAGCATGAATGCCATCCCCGGCCAGGGAGCTACCCACATGGCAGAGCAGACCTCTCCTGTCTCCCCTGCTGCTCCCCTCAACAGTGTATTTCAGTAGACCCACCTGTTCTGTTTCCCACTCTGTCTCTGGTGAATCCTCCTACCCTCCACACCTCTGATCTGCACCCCAGCTCTTATATGCATAAATAAATAAGACAAATCTTTTTTTTTAATGGGGGGGATAATGAAAAGTGAAAGGGGAAAAATGACAGCAAAAAAAAATCAAAAGAGTTGAGTAGTAAGGATATTAATTTATGGAGCACATTCTCTGGGCCAATGTCTACCATTTCACTCAATCCTCACAACTGTAAGATGCTTTTTTTGTGTCAGATCAGACTATTTTGTTTATCATCGTTTTAGAGTTTGTTTTGACAGAGCTCACTTAATGACTTCACCAACAGAGAGATTAAGTTATTATAATCCTTATGTAAGAATCCCTACCACACTCTGTAAGGTACAAGATCTAGCACTCATTATAACCCTGCTTATGAGGAAAATGGGGGTGAGGGTTGCCACACCAAACCAATGCCCCATTTTATCCACAGATAAAATATAACTGGCAAAATTCTTACTCCTCATGCATGCACAGTCTAAAAGACTTGCTAAGTGACTAAAAAAGTTAAGACGGGGGGCCTCCCTGGTGGCGCAAGGGGTTAAGCACCACACTATGAAGCAATCTGCAGCCTTTGCAGCATGAGTTCGATCCCCGGCCGGCCACATGGCGAGGTAGACCTTTCCTGTCTCGCCCGCTGCTCCCCTCAGCAGTGTATTTCGGTCAGTCTGCCTGTTCTGTTTCACTCTGTCTCTGGTGGATCCTCTCACCCCCCGCATCTTTGGCCTGTACCCCTGCTCTTGTATGCGTAAATAAATAAATCTTTTTTAAAAAAAAGTTAAGACAGGGCTTTAGCAAATGCAGGTTTCGCCTTAAAAGCATGAAAATCGCTTGACCAAAAATGAGGTGAGGAAGGGTTGTTTGGGACCATAGCAAAATGTCTTCAAATGAAAGAAAACTAGTTGTCTAAAGGGAGCCAACAGGACAAGGTGGAGTTGATGGGCACTGGTGACATGTCAGGGAGACTCCCACATTCAATTGTGTTAGTGAGCTGTGCATTCAGCCGCTGTTATTCGGGCAGGAAACATTAGGAAGTTGGGGGAAATCATGCGTGAACCCAGCTATCAGTCCTCCGGTTGCACATCATTTGAGTGTAGAACAAAGTATATGCATCAAAAATATACACTGTGGCAAGACAGGATGTGAGGACTAATGACCGCAAGGAGGAGCCTGGGGCTAAGAGAGGACAGGTGCCTGGTCCTGGGAGCACACCCCATCTGACCCACTCACCCGGTGTGTAACCCCAAGGCTCATAATAGGAGGGGAAGACCCCAAGGTGGCAGCCTCGGACAAACTCCTCATAGTCCACGGGGAGCAGGGGGCTCGTGGAAGAGAGGAACTCCGGATGAAAAATCACCTGGCAGCAAAATAGAAGAGATCAACTGCAGCACCTTGTGTAGCTATCCCTGAGATCCCACAAGGTCCAGGGAGGCTGAAAACCTTGTCTAAAAACACACAAGTCAGCGGCAAGACAAAGATTTGAACCCAAGTCTGTCTGCCGCAGAAGTTAAGGTTCTTTCTCGACAAAGCAATCTTTTGATAAACTAGGGGAGATCGGGAATGGGAGGTCCAGCCCCCCTCCACTCCCTCTCCCCACCATGCCCACGGTACCCTGGCCAGTGCCCTCACCTTGACCCTGTCAGCACTGCTGTTGAAGAGGCCAATTCGGCGAATGGTGGTCAGGATGGGGTCCGAGGAGTCATCCAGCATATTGTGGGTGCACACAGGGGGGAAAGACTGCCGCTGAAGGGGCCACAAGTGGGGGGAGTGTCAGGGAAGGGCAGAGAGCTGCTGACATCCCCACAAGCCAAGCAGACCCTGTGGATCCAAGGAGACCACAATTCCCACCCAGTTGTGGAGCAACAAGTCCAAGTGATTCCCGGGGTTGTAGATTTCTATTTGCTTCCATCTGTAAAAATTCTCTTTCTCTTTAACCATCACAAGCTGAAAAGAAACTACAATTCCCGGCAGTCTTTGAGGCAGAGCCAGTGTTAACATGCCCCAGCGTCAATATGAACTATTGGGAGTTGTAGATATCTTATTCTGTATCCTTGGCTCTGTCATCAAAGGAATCTAAAAGAACTATAACTCTTCCCAGTGGGGAGTGGTGTAGTCTTACACCAATGTCACACCAAGCTGCAGGGACTGCTGGAAGTTGTCATTTTCTTTTGGAAATCCTGGGTTACTTGTTCTCCAAGTTTCTTTTAGTCTACCCTTAAATTCCCTCCACCTCCAACAGAGGTCTGAAGGCCCACAATTCCCAAAAATCACTGCAGGAAGAAAGAACTAGTGTGATGGGAAATCCTGGGGCTATCGGGATGTGTAGTTCTCTGCCACGGTTCCATTATTTCTCTCATTAAAAGCTGTACGTGTCTTCAGTCTACTGATTCCAAGAGCCCGAGAAACTACAAACCCCAATAGCCCCATGGCAGAAGCATCCTCGGTGAGGCTAACTGCTCGGGACAATTGAAAGATGGAGTTTGGCCAAAAGCAATTCACACCTTGTTTGTGCAATTTGGCTGTCTAGGATTCCATTCCCTGGGAGAGGGCTCACTAGCCTTGATCACGGGCACCAAAGACCCCTGACTCCAGAAAATAAAAGAACTCTAACTCCCAGAAGTCTTTAGGGGCAAGGGAAAGTTCTGAAGCTGGAAGCCCAGAGGCTGTGGGAATTGTAGTTCTCATTTTGTGATGCCAGATTTCCCTAAGGTTTCCCACTAATTCCATTGACCTCACAAATCTAAAGAAGTCTCCACACCCAGTAGTGGTTGGGGACTAAGATACAGCCAATGGGATAAGAAATGGTGGCTGCTGAGAGTTTTCAGTGTTCTTACACAGGTGTAACCAAACTACCACTCCCAGAGTCTCTGGGGTCAGAGGTGGACCCAGTAGTGGAGCAGCACTGTCAGGGGGCAGCTGGGAGTTGTAGTTCTCCCCTCGTGGCTTTCCGATGGTTCCTTTCACTTTTGTCCATTGACCCTGGGGAACCAGAAACTACAACTTCCAGCAACCTCTGTGGTAGAATGAATTATGGGAAAGCAGGTCGCCCTAAGGGCTTCTAGGAATTGAAGTTCTACCAGTTAGTTCGCACCATTCTTTGGACCTCAGAATTGATTCCCCCCAAAAAGGGTCACCTGATAAAGCAGAATACGTAGCAATCTTTGGGGGGGTGGGGTGTCAATACTAATGGGGCAAGCTGCTTCTGGGTTGCTAGGGTCCAAACCATACCTGCGTAGCAAAGATGGCTCTCTTCATCATAGTGAAGTCCTCCTTGTCCAGCATCTTATTCATGTCTGGGAGGCTCCCCCTGCAAGGTGAGCAGAAGTATGCATCTGGAAACAGGAGACAAGAGTGGGGAGGGCTGGTGTAGGGTTGAGGACTGGACACTCACACCAGCAAGGACTCATAGAGCTTCCTCCCGAACTTCTCCTTCACTGTGTTGGCTGTATCCCTGGAAGAAGCAAAGCAACAACATCACACCAGCTGCCATTTATTGTTAGTCTTCTGGGGCAGCCAGGAAACTGATATTTGAGAAGGGCAGAGAACCCTGGGAATTCCAGGCTGGAGGATGGGGACCTGGGGGACAGGCTTTGGAAGGCTCAGATTTCTTGTGCTCTGCATCGGCTGTGTGGTCAGGGACAGGTGGCCTTCCCTCTCTGACTTCAGTGACTCATCTGTCAGAGGGGGATAAAGATAAACTGAACCTCAGAAGTCTGCAATGACAACTCGATGAGGTCATGCCAAAAAAGTACACAGTGCCTCGCACACAATGAGCCTTCCAAAAATGTCAGCTATTATTAGGACTTGTGCTACTCCTGGCAGTAGAGATGCTAAGTTCCATTTCATAAAGTAGGAAAAATTATGTTCTAAAAGAAGAAAATTTATGTATATAAATAAAATTAATAAATAATGCCAACTGATAGCCCCATTCACATTCCTCTGCTCACAATCATCCCATAGCTCTGGCCTCATTTTCTACCCTATCTCCTTCAGGCATTTTGCTCCAGCCGTACTAGGCTCCTCACTATTTCCCAAAGACACCTCAGGGCCTTTACACATGCTGTTCCCACCGCCTGAAATGCTGTTCCCCAGATACACACAGGACTCTCTCCCTTATTTCTTGTATTGGTTTCTGCCTTGAGGCACTTTCTCAGTGTGTCCTGTCCTGACTTCATATTCCCATCCTGCTTTTTTTTTTTGTCATAGCACTTTCTAGAATGTGAGCTCCATAAGGGCAGGGATTCTACCTTGCTTGCTTACAGCTGTGTCCCCACAGCCTGGCACATAGTAGGTACTCAATAAATAGCCAATAGCTAATGAATGAATGGGTTTTACAGAAGGGGAAGCCGAGGCTCAGCAGGCAAGGAGGAGGGAGTGATGTGCCTAAAGTCACAAAGCCTGTGAGGGCCTATGACACAAGAGTGACCTCCCTGGTTTGATATGGAACCCCCAGACCCCTTTGCCCCACCTGTGACTTTGTATTACCCCAAGCTGGAGGAATCTTAAGCAAATAACATCTCTAGGAATTAGGGAAGGAGGTGAGACTCCTGGAGAAATAGTGGCGCACACAGCTGGGAGTAGGTTGGACCCGCGATAGGGCCCTGGCCCTGGGCTGCTCACCACAGCTGCTTGCGCACGGCCTGGCCCTTGAGGGTTTCCACGTTGAAATTGTTGGTCCGAGCTGGCATGATGAAGAAGGCGACCACTGTCTGCTCGCTGCCATTCACCTGGGGCAGACATTGGGATCCCAGGGGAGGCTCCCACACTTTCCCACCCCAACCCCCACACCACCATTAGGACCCTGCCATGCCTCTCCCTGTCACGGAGAATTTTAGAACAGGCTTATCATCCCTTCCAGGACTCAGACCCTCTAACCTTCTTTTTTGTAAGGAACTGAATTTCTTAATTTTATTTTCTATTGGTCGATCTTTTCGTTTGTATTATTTTTATTAAGGTAATGTTGGTTTCCAACACCAAATTTTACTTCCTTTTAATCAACTGAAATTGAACTTATTAATCAACTGGATTTTAATAACTGAAATTGAAACTTTCCCATCCGCATGGCCACTGGCTGGCCTCTGGCACAGCTCGGCGCTAGCCCGCGCTCTGCACAAGGGAGACCACCGCAAACTCAGCAACTGCGCACACGTACGAATCCTGAGACACCAGCCTCTTCCCACGCCACCTTATTTTGCCAGCTGACAACTACGGGGGAGTCCCTGAGGTGAGCCCAACCCCTCCCTTCAGAACAGGAAGAGGGACGAGCGTGGTCCCCCCGGCGCAGACCAGTTCCTTTAAGCATCTTGTACATGGCGCTTGGGGGAATGTCTCTGGCCTCGGATCTCCTCTGACTCCCCACCACCACCTCCTCGGTCTGTTCACCCCATTTGTGTCCCGAGGTCCCCATCCTCTCTTTCTTCCCTCACAGCCTTACTCTGAGCAGATAGTTGAGCCGGGCCAAGGCCTCCAGGAAGACGTCGGCACCCTTGTTAGAGAACTCATAGCGGCCGGCGATGAAGAAGTACAAGGTCTTGTCCAAGTTGAAATCCAGGTGCCTAAAGAAGCCTCAAGGTAGGGTAAAGCCCGAAACCCTGCCCCTCGAGTCCTGGCGTGCAAACTACAGAGCCCAGAAGGTACCGCGACAACTAACACCTGAGATAATATGGAGGGATTGTGGACACCCCTGGTTCTCTTCTTCTTACATGGGGCTCTCCTTTGATACCCACAGCTATTCTGGCATTCAGTAACGCAAGAGGCTGAGCCTCCAGCCATTCCCGCCCTTAGAACCAGGAGTCTGGGCTCCCAGCACCCACCACTCTCAAGACACAGGTATCTGGCCCACGTACCCATAAAAATGGCCCCGTACAAATTCCTGGATTCGGGCCTTGCTCTGAGCGTGGAGATTCTGGAACTCATGCATGGCTGAGAACTTCTTCACATTCAGTCCATTGGGGGTCACGATATCTGGGGTGGGGAAGAAGGACCCACGTTTCATTTCCTCATTCACATCAATGTGGGTGAATGAATAAATGAGAAAATGACCCCTTTCCTGTCACACTTTCTGTGTTTCACTCGTGACCTCTCTGGGTAACCCAGCTGCCCTACCACTCAGACGCCTTCTTGTCTAATAAGGCTCATGCTAAGAAATACTACTACAACTCCCATCAGCCCCTGCAAGTGGCCAACAGACCAGAACCTTGATCTGCATTCTGGGAGTTGTAGTTTTTTGTCTCCCCTATTTCACCCTGTGCTGGGAATGATTATGCATCCCCATCCTGCCTCTCCCAGAATATACCCTCTTCCTTCAGTCTTCTTTTAGGGCCCTATTCTCATAGAAATTAAAGCATCTCAACCCCCTACAACTGCCATCATATCTTGGGGCAAAATTTTGGGAAAATAAGGGGCTGACCAGCAAAGACCTCTGGGAGCTGTAGTTTTCACCTTACATCTGCTGGGAATAGAAACTATCGCCTGGGAAGAATAACCAGTTCCAGCACTACTTTTCTCAAAAACAAAATCCAGTGAACCTTCCCCTCTCCCCCAACCCCAGTATCTGCATTAGCCAGAAGAATATTACCATTTCTGAAATTAATACCAAAGAAGCTACATCTCCCATCTAGAGTGTACATCCACGTGCAGGTCTCCAGCCTAGGTTCTTCTGGGAACTGTAGTTTTCTGCTTTGTATTAGTAAAAAATTTTGGTAGGACTTTGGCACAGAGTCAACTACCTCCTTCATGTTTCGGGACCCCTGCCTGTCCCCTACCTGGTTTCCGCTTGAGTAGGTGCTGAGCCTCAATGGCGGTGATCTGGGACACAGTGGTGAAGACGTGAGCACAGTGGGCCGCCGCCCGCTCCATGCAGTAGCGGTGATAGATTTGCCTCTCACCTGCTTCCTTGTCCACATTGAACTGGGTGAGCAGGGAATAGTCAAGTTAGGAGATCTGGGGTCCTGGAAGAGGCTGGGGCTAGAATTTGGACTCCTGAGTCTGAAGGAAGAAGCTGGGGGTTGGGACTCCTGGGCACTGGGAGGAAAGAGTGTGTTATCCCCTTGGGGTTTTTTTTTTTTTTTTTAAGATTTATTTTATTTATGCATGCATGGAAGAACTGGGGTGCAGGCCAGAGGTGGGGGGGGGTGAAAGAATTCACCAGAGACAGAGTGGGGACCAGAACAGGCAGATCCAGTGAAATACACTGCTGAAGGGAGCAGTGGGGAGACAGGAGAGGTCTGCTGCGCCAGATGGGTCAGCTCCCTGGCCAGGGATCGAACTCAGGCAATCACGGTGAGAGTGCTAAGATTTAACCCCAAGGCCACCACGGAGGCCCCACCCCTTGGGACTTGTACCCAGCTTTGGACTATCTTGAAATACTCAGAGGCCCCCATCAGTCACCCTCCCAGCTCACCCTCTCCAAGTTGTTGTAGAAGTCCACAGCACCGGCACACAGGTACCGCCCCAACAGCGTGGCATGGGTGGTGAAGATGGTAGCCACGGGCAGCCGACGGGCCCGGCACAGGCAGAGCCCAATGCCCGCTAGCCACTCGTGGAAGTGTGCAACCACATGTGGCTTCTCCTCATTCTGGGCCAGGAACTGTGGGGCAACAGGGACCGGGCCATGAAGACAATGAGCCACCTCTACCATGGACAAGGAAGCAGGGGAGGGGTGAAGTTACCACCCCAACTGCACGTCATGGGCCCCTAGGACTAAGCCAGAGGCAGCCAGAGAGCTAATTTCATCCCAGAGGCCGATGGGAGCTGAGATATTTTGGCCAGTCTTCTAAGTCCCAACAGAAATGGAATGGGAAGACTGTGGTTTTAGTGTCAGCCAAGCCCTGAACACAATTCCTGGGCACTCTTTAATATTCAAGAGTAGACCAACGCCTGGCACTGGCCAGAGGACTACACCTCCCAGAAAGCCCCAGGAGCAGCAAGGTCATAAACCATCTCCAGTCTGGGAAATTGAAATTTCTTGAGCCTTTTTAAACCTAGCAGGAGGGGTGGGGTGAAGGGGGGGTGTCAAAACCAGTATTCCTGGTTCTCAGCTAGGCTGGGGATCCCCAAATATCCAGGGCCTGCTCTGAGAGCTAAATCCAGTCAATCTCAGACTAGAGACTACAACTCCCAGAATTCCAGGGGTACTGGAATTTCAGGATAGTATTCCAGGGGGTGAGCCCTCCAGCCAGGCCAGCCTTGCCAGGAGCTTAAGGCTCAGAATTCCTGTATTGGAGACTGGAGTGAATGCAGCTGGGGTTGGAAGTTTGGGACTGTGAGGAAAGAAGGGTCTGGGTCCCTGGATGTCCATGTTCCCAAAGGTCAAAGCTAATCCTTGGACCAACGACTCCCAGAATACCCTGGGAAGCACCAATCACCCTCTGGCCCCCACCCAGCCACCCCCTAGCCAGGGGCTGATGTAGTTTTGGGCCTGGGGTGCAAAGGAGTGGCATGGGGACCAGCAGTGGGGCCTACCTCACCCAGGAACCAGGTGGTGAGGAAGCCAAAAAGGACAGCGTCGTTGGCCTCACGGTCGTACCAGGGCACCCCGATGTTGCAGGTGTCCCAGAGTTCCCCCTTCCAGCGCTCCAGGGCCCAGGCGGAGGCCCCCACGTCCAGGAGCACCACCAGGGGGCTCCCCTCGATGAGCCAGCGCCCGAAATACACCTGGGGAAGCCCAGAGGAATGCTCAGGACTTTGGCCCCAGGTCCCTGGATACCACATGGGTGAGCTTCCTGCCTCAGTTCTCCTGTTTCTAGATCTGCTGCCAGTTTCTCACCCGCTGCCTGTTTCTCTGTTTGCTGGTAGTTACTCCCACCTGTCTCTTTCCATCTCTGTTGCCTAGGTTCTATTCCTGCTTCCCTCTCCCCCGAATTTCTTCCACTGGCAGCTTCTTTTATAAATTGTTCTCACTGCCATGGGTCTCAGACCGCTGCCTCGTTTTTTGTCTCTTTGGTTCCTATTTGTTCCCTCCTGCTGCCTCTTTTTTTTTTTTAAGATGTATTTATTTATGCATGCAAGAGCTGGGGTACAGGCCAGAGGTGCGGGGGGTGAGAGGATTCACCAGAGACAGAGTGGGGAACAGAACAGGCAGACTGAAATACACTGCCGAGGGGAGCAGCAGGTGAGTCAGGAGCGGTCTGCTGCGCCATGTGGGTAGCTCATAGGTTGCGTCTTAACCCCTTGCACCCCTGCTGCCTCTTGACCCCCCCCCCATCCTCAGGTTCATCCCACCCTGCAGCCCATGGCCAAGACTCTCCCAAGCTCTTCCACAAGCTTTTTTGCATCCACTGCTGTGTTCCTGACCCTCGCCCTCTCATTTCTACCTCTGCTCCTTTCCTCGCGAGACCTGGTCTAGGTTCTGGGCCTGCTGCCCCTGCTCCAGCCAGCTCTCAGTCACACTCCTCCCACCTGGCTTTTTCCTACTTGGGCAGCCTGAGCCTTCCCCTTCCCCCTCCCAGCTGTTGTCTGCCCTTTTGCTGGGTGGGGCCTAGTCTTAGGGCTCCAGCAAGAGAAGAGCAGCTGCCATGGGGAGGGCAGGGCTGACCTTGGGTTCCTTGGGGACACAGTCCAGCCTGATTGGACTCCAGACCCCCCCCCAAAAAAAAAACCTAAAGGCTATGAATGAATGAACCGGTCCCCACTTGCTCCCAGACCCCAACGGGCCTGGACTTCAGCCCAGTTGCCTCACAGCCCTCTCCTGGGATGGCTGCTACTTCTCCGTGCTCATCATACAGATCTGGGGGCCACGGGGCTGCCAGGGCTCTCCATGCTTCTCTTTTGTTCCCAGCTCTGTCCATCAGAACCCTGTCCCCTGGGGTCAGCCTGCCCCTCCTCTCTTCATTAACATGTCATCTTCCTCTCTCCTTCTAGGTCCTTCGCTCTGAGACACTGTGTAGCCTCCCTCTGGTATCCAGTCTCTGTCCATCTCCCTTTTGCTCTAGTCCCAGGGCACCATCTTTTGGAATATTCCGTCTCTCCCCATCCACCGATCTCTCCCAGGTCTGCTCTTTACCACACGTTGCAGACTCGGCCGTTTATAAGACGACGGCGATGATGATGTGAGAGCTCACGCACACTGCTAACTTCATGCCAGGAACTGGACTGAGGGCTTTATTCAACGTCTCATCCTCCCAACAGCCCTTAGATAGGCGCGCCATTAGCCAAGGTCACACAGGCAGGAAGCGGAGAAGCCAAATTTGAACTCCTGGCTCTGGAACCCCTGCTCTGGCCGCCTGCCACACTCCCACGCCACCTCCCCGGCTTCTGTCTGGCTAGCCATCTCTCCCGCTGGCTTTTTCCTCTCTCCGGGTCTCAGGACCTTGGCTTTTTGGAACCCTCACTTGGTCTGTCTTATTCCTGCTGTTTGTCCATTCGCCTGGGGTCCACCCACCCTCTACACAGGGTCCTGCCTCTGTCTGCCTGTCTGTCTGTCTGCCTGGGAGGTACCAGCTCACCCAGTTTCCCACGGAAGCTCCGTCCCACCCTGGGGCTGTCCCAACCCGCCCCTTCTCCAACTGGTGTTCTGACCCTGAACACCGGGCACCTGCTTCCCTGCCCTTCACTGGGCACAGCCCACCTTGCAGCCCTTGCTGTTCATGGAGTCCAGCGTCCTCTTCAGGGCCGGGGTGGGGGGCTCGAGCACTTCCACCTGGGTCCTCACGCCCTGCTCCGTGTAGGGTCCCACGAGGTAGTAGTTGTCGCCCCACTCATCCCCTGTCACCTTCGCCTTCGTCTGCAGCACCGTGTAGATGCCACCCACTGTGGACCCAAGCACGTGAGGCCAGGCCCCAGCTGGGACCTGGGGCAGGGTAGGGGGCCATGGGAGGCACGGGGCCACTGACCTCTGACTTAGGGGGTTGGGGACTGGGAGCTCAGACTTCCAAGTCAGTTGAGGAGGGGAGACGAGGCGGAGCGCAATACTCCTAGGTCTAAGGGAGATTGGGGTGGGGTGGGATTTGGTGGGAAGAGGAGGCTCGGGATAGATTTCAAAGACTGAGAAAAGGGCTCGGGTGCCAAGGATGCTGGAATTGACAAGGGTTACCAGTACCCAGCTCCCCGAGTTCCCGGTTTATGGAAACTGAGTTAATTCTCAGTCAGACACTAGCACAGGACGAGGGCACATCCCTATCCTAGCTCTACTTAGCTTCCCACAGTTGCCCAAAAAAAGCCAGAATGGTCACTCCTTGTCCTCCAAGGAGTCTGCCGACCTGTCCCCTAGTCTCCTCTCCCCACTGGGGACACAGGCGTGCAGGGCTCCGCCCCTCCTGTGACTCCACTACAGACCGGGACGGTCTTACCTCCTGGAGCCTGGGCCCTGGTGATACCCAGCTCCATGTCCGCAGGCCCCTTCCCATGGTGTAAGACAGGCCCTTCCTCTTACAACAGGCAGGAAAGCAATACCCCATCTCTCTCCCCACAGACTAGCTCCTGGGATGCCAGCCCCAGCCTTTCCCAAACCCAGAACCTCAGGCCCTGTGGAACCTAGACACAGAAATCCAGGCCTCCAGCCACTCCCACCCCAGGGCCCACCCCCTGACCAACTTAGGACTTCCCAGCCTTCCCGCCCCTGCCAGTACGCATGTGTCTGAGACCACAGGCCTCCACTGCTAGGACCGACAGCCCAGGCTTTTGGCTCCTCTGGAGCCTAGACATCTAGGCCCCAACTCTCTTTCAACCCAGGATCTATAAATTAGGGTCTCCTGGTTACCCTGTCAATTTTCCTTCAAGAACTCCTACAACCTATCTCCTGCTCAGCTTTCTCCCAAGTTACATCCCAAAACCCTTCCCCCAGTCACTTCTTTAGGTTTGCATGAAGAAGGGCCGCCCTCTCATCTTCCCTGTTCAGGACCTGTTCTGGTCCCTGGAAACCTCCCTCCCAAACCTCGGAATCTTCCATTTTAGCCTCCTAACCCCTAGGGCCCAGGATCAGGGCTTCCAGCCTCCTTTTATCTTAATAGACTACTTATTCCCTTGTCCCAGGGCCCAGGAGACATACCTCAGCCCCTCCCCAAGGACACAGGAGTCATAGGCTACTTGTCCAGGACCCAAGAGTCATGCCTTGCAACTCCGTCCCCCTGTTACTCAAGAGTGCTGGGGCCCCATCCTTGACCGCCCTTCTTGTCTGTGTCTCGCCAGGGGCTTACCCTTGTTGGCCACCTCCCAGGCCACCTCGAAGAGCACTGTGTTCTCCAGGTCGAATTCATCCTCCCATTCCTCCAGTCCTGGCAGTGAGGACACAGACAAAGTGCGGTTTAGAGGCATGGCCGACGCGGGAAAGACGCCCCGGGGGCCACAGGTGGGGATCCCGGAGGTGTCGAGGGAATGCACCGGGCAGGGCGTGAAACAAGGGCGCCCGTGCGGGACGGGAAGCTTGCAACGCCCTTGGCTTCCTATTGCACGATCGCAACCCCCACCCCCGCCCGGAGCGTTCGGACCGGGGCTGGAGGTGGCCGCAGCGTCACTGAGCCCAGAGCGGCCCCTGCAGTGAGAGCTTGCGGCCGCCAGGAGGCGGCGACCGCCCCCCGGCCAGCGCCATTGGTTGGCGCTCGGGGGCGGGGCTCCCGCGTCCGCTCATTGGTGGATAGAATAGGGTTGGCTCTGCCAGGCCACCGCCTTAATGGTCGAGGCGAGCCCTAGGGGGCGGGGCTTATCACGGCGCTAGCTCATTGGCCGTCAGCGTTGTCAGTACGAAGCTGCCCAGAATTGGTGGGGAGGGAAGAGGGTAGGAAAAGGAGCGTGGGGAACGTGTGGTTGCCCTAGAAGTGTGAAGAATTTTGCAATCGGCCTCAGCAAGGAGGCCTGGGTAAAAGGAGGAGGAGCCAGGAGGCGTTGGGAAGGGACCCGGGAGTTCCGGGCACTCCCGCAGTCCCAACGGGGGGGCAGAACCTAAAAAGTGAAGCCACGCCCCCCACGGGTCGTCTGTGAGTTTACGAGCAACCATCGAGCGCAGTGGAGGACTTGGCCGTCTAGAGTGGCCCAGGACGGCGCGTTCCTAGCGCGTTTCCGTTTCCGTTTGGATATTGGCGGTTGTTGAGCATCATGGCAACCGTGGTAAGTCTCTGCGTGCGGAGGGCTGAGGAACGAACCAGCCCTCCCAAGTCTGAAGGAGGAGGCGGTGGGTCTGGGCTCTTGTATCTGAGCGGAGAGGAAGCTGGAGGCCTGGGGTCGGGGTCTGAGGGAGGGGCCGGGGGCCTGGACTCCCGGGTCTGAGGGAGGATGCCGGGGGCCTGGGCTCCGGGTCAGAGAGAGGAGGCCGGGGGCTGGACTCCCGGGTCTGAGGGAGGGAGCCGGGGGCTGGACTCCCCGGTCTGAGGGAGGGCCCGCGGGCTGGACTCCCGGGTCTGAAGGAGGATGCCGGGGGCCTGGACTCCCGGGTCAGAGAGAGGAGTCCGGGGGCTGGACTCCCGGGTCTGAGGGAGGGAGCTGGGGGCTGGACTCCCGGGTCTGAAGGAGGATGCCGGGTCTGAAGGAGGATGCCGGGGGCCTGGACTCCCGGGTCAGAGAGAGGAGTCCGGGGGCTGGACTCCCGGGTCTGAGGAAGGGAGCTGGGGGCTGGACTCCCGGGTCTGAAGGAGGATGCCGGGGGCCTGGACTCCCGGGTCTGAGGGAGGGGGCCGGGGACTGGACTCCCCGGTCTGAGGGAGGGGGCCGGGGGCTGGACTCCCCGGTCTGAGGGAGGGGCCGGGGGCTGGACTCCCCGGTCTGAGGGAGGGGCGGGGGCTGGACTCCCCGGTCTGAGGGAGGGGCCCGTGGGCTGGACTCCTGCGTCAGAGAGAGGAGGCTGGGGACCCGGACTCTCAGGTCTGAGGGAGAAGGAAAGATGCTGGTTGTTCCTGTATCCTGGGTTCAAGTTGATATTTGCCGCTTACTGATCAGATCCGACCCCACTCTGTAACAGAAACTCCAACTTCCAATCCTCTAGGCACAATCAACAGCTAGTTCTGCACTCCTTTGCCCTAAAGTCTGACGAGGTTTCTGTTATCTTGTATTCCAAGCCATCCAGGAGCCCTGGTTGTCACCCTCCAATTCTCCTATCTCCCCTCAGCCCTGGACTACCGCTAATCTACTTTATGGATTTGTCTGTTCTGGGTGTTCTATATAAATGGAATCCTACACTATGTGACCTTTTGTGTCTGGCTTCTTTTCCTTTCTTGAAGGGACACTGGGAGCTGGTTTTCCAAGTCTGCCTGTTTTGTAGCATGTAGCAATGCATCGTTTCTTTTTTGTGGCTAATATTCCATTGTATGGATAGCCTGCATTTTGTTTTCCCACTCATCAAGTGATGTATATTTTGGGTTGTTGACACTTTTTTTTTTTTTTTAAAAGATTTATTTATTTATTTATTTATACAAGCACTGGGTACAGTCAGAAGCACGGGAGGGCGACAGAATTCACCAGAGCCAGAGAGGGGAGTAGAGAGGCAGAAGGACAGAGGTACACTGCTGAAGGGAGCAGCAGGCGGCAGGAAAGGTCTGCGCGCCATGTGGGACCCTCCTTCTGTGGCCAGTGAGCAGGCGGGGATTGAACCAGCGCTGCAGAGGCTGTGGGCAGCCTCGCAACCCAGCGCTCAACTGCTACACCACGGGGGAGGCCCTGTTGACACTTTTTTGCTGTCAGTTATGAACATTCGTGGGTGAGGGTAAGGAAGCTCTGGAGGTATCCCAAATGATGTTTACTCTCTCCTCCTTTATGAGAAGGGAGGGAAGCTGACTCCTCTGGGAGACCTGAGGACATAGGAGCCCTTCTCGCTTGCTTTTTGAATGAGCCCCAAATTTCAGTACCTCATTCATTCAAACCTCAAACCTTGAGCCCTGGAGGGAACAAGCCAGATTCAGGCCAGGCCCTGCGTGAGATTCACACCCACTGAACCAGGAATCTTTTTTTTTTTTTTTTTTTTTTTTTTTTATAGAGGCATGTTTTCTTTCTTTCTTTCTTTATTTGTTTGTTTGTTTGTTTATACATGCACTGGGTACAGTCAGAAGCGCGGGAGGGTGAGAGAATTCACCAGAGCCAGAGCGGGGAGCAGAGCAGGCAGAAGGACCGAAGTACACTGCTGAGGGGAGCAGCGGGCGGCAGGAGAGGTCTGCACGCCATGTGGGACCCTCCTCCGGTGGCTGGGGAGCAGCCGGGGATCGAACCGGCGCCGCAGAGGCCGCGGGCAGCTTCGCAACCCAGCGCCCAACCGCTGCGCCACCGGGGAGGCCCTGAACCAGGAATCTTGATGCAGCTGTCTCCCTTGTGAATGTCACATTACACTGGGCCTTGACTTGCAAGGGAGGCCATTCTATCTGGACATCAAGACCCTAGAACTATCCCTGTAGGAACAGAGGTCAAGGAGAGCCTCCTTTAGTGAGGGAGAGGAGAACCTGAACTTGGGGACCAGCACATGCAAAAACCTATGGCCAAATAATGCAAAAGGTCCTGGTGAATATTCAGGGCTGGACTATGTCCAGCTTTGTGTTGGTGTTCTTATGGGGGGCAGGGAAAGTTCGTTATCAGATGATTCCTGGGCTCAAATACGTGCTAGATCCTGGGGACAGAGCTGTGATTAGACTGATACCGATCGTATCTTGCTGGGACACTGTCAGGGGGTCAGGCAACCACCTAATTGCTTGGTTGATGACAACAGAGAAGGGTAGGAGTGACTGGTATTATTGGCATGCCTGTGTGGAGAAAGAGTAGAAAGGACTTTGTCATGGGAGGCCAGCAGAGAGACAGAGGAGGACTTGGTGACAACAAGGCTCTTATGATAAATCTTTTTTCCTCCCAGACAGCCACAACCAAAGTCCCAGAGATCCGGGATGTGACAAGGATTGAGCGGATTGGTGAGTGTGGATGGGGAGAAGATCCTAACTCTGCCTACCCAGGGCAGCCTTGGCAAAGCCAGCCTGCCCAGGATCCCCCAAGGCAGCCAGCTCACCATCTCCCTATTTCATGGGGGAGGACCCTGAGTTCCAGAGTAGGGTTAGATGGCATGTGGGCGGCTACATCGAACCCCAGCCCCAGTACTGTGCTACTGTCTTAACTAGCTAAGGCACTCCTGGGTGTTCTGGCCTCCTGCATGGAAGTCATTTAAGTGGCCACTGCTGACTATTTAGTGGTGAGTTCTGAACTGAACGTCCCATGCACCCGGCACACACGGCATTAGTTCCTGAGGGCAGACGCCAGCTCCCCTCATTCGTAACCTAGCACAGCACCTGACAGAGCAGATGTTCAATAGATAACCATCAAATACATGCGTCTGTGCCCCACTGAATCCTAAGTAACCTCACAAGATGTGGATTGTATGTCATCCAGTTTTTAGCTGAAATAGCCGAGACTCAGAGCAGTCAGTTACTGGCCCTGGCTTGCACAGAGTGAGCTGAGAGTTCCAGAAGCTGGTGTTTAGTGGGGCAAGCTGCCTTCACAAAGAGATTTTCTTGTGGGGACAAAACTACCCTCTCTCATTCACATTCATTCATTCAGTGCCTCCAGAAGAGGCAGTTAAGGGCTTTGTGGCTGTGAACCTGGGTTCTGGACGCACACTGCAGGTGCCCCTTCCCACCTGTGTGTTGAGGGACTAGTTGCTCCCTGTGCCTCAATTTCCTTACTTGCCAAACCACGGGGATAGTTGAAGTCATCAGGTAATCCACATAAAACAGTTAACATACAGAGACCGTGTCCAGGTTTTCAACTGTTAAAGAACTGGGTATTGCTAAGATCAGTAGAGAGTAGCTGCCCTTAGTGCCTTCCCTTGAGGTGCTCACAGTCTACTGCAGCGGTTGACCTACCTCTTCTCAAAGGGTCAGATAGTAAACCACCTTTCTGGTGAGGAAAGCACTCTGTTGCTGTGCCACAGCAGCTATGGACAGTAGGTAAATGAATGGGTGTGACTGGTCCCATAAAACTTTATTTACAAAAACAAGTGGCTGGCCCACAAGCTAGTGTTTGCCTGTGTTTGGCTGTGTGGTCTTGGACCAGAGACCTGCCCTAACAGCCACTCCCCACATCCATGTCAGCGTGGGCCTGCGGCACTGCTGAAGCCCGGAAGCAGCCCAGCCTCAGAGTACTTGAGACTTTTGTATCTCAGGGTTACGTGGAATGAAATTAGAACCAGCCAGGCCACTTAGGCCATAAACACAATGCCACTGTGCTCCTTAACCCCCTGCCAGGGGCCGGATGCAATTACCTTAACTGGGTCTCAGTAACTTTGGTCCTGCTCCAGTGTATCCAAGGAAAGAGCCACCTCTGAGCACTTAACCTTGTCTAGTCACCCTCCCAGTGAGGTGGGGATTCGGGGCTGCACTGGGCCAAGGAGAAAACCAGGACTCAGGAGTAAACTCCTCACCTCAGACCACGCGTTGCCACGAGTTGGCCAGTAACCGTGTCTTCTGCTTCTTTCCCACACACAGGCGCTCACTCCCACATCCGTGGGCTGGGGCTGGACGATGCCTTGGAGCCCCGGCAGGTAGAGCAGATGGAGATGGGC